AAACCTCACCTTAAACAAAAAAAAAAAAATAATGATCTTGTAGTTTAAACAATTTACTAATAATTGATAATTGTCATAGATTAAAATAAAATTAAATTAAAATAAAGTAGATAACTTTTTATTTATATTTAATAGACAAACTATTTGTTATTTGAAGAGGATCTGCAAATTTTTATAAATAAATTTTACTATTAAGCCAAATGTGAAGTGCTCTAATCTAAAACTTTTTTACTAAGTAAATTACTCTTAACTTTAACAAAATTGTAGAGCTTATCAAGAAATATATAATAGTAGAAAGAATATTAAAATCAGCCTTGTAGTTCTTGAAAAATCTTTAAAAACAATTTGCAATATATAAAAATTCTTTAAAAAAATTAATTTTTTAAAAAAAATTTTATATATCAGCAAAACATTTTTAAAGATTTTTTAAGAACTATAAAGCAAATTTTAATATTTTTACTATTATTAAATATATTTTGATGAACTCTAAAACTTTTGTTAAAAGCCCAAAAGTGATTTACTTAGTAAAAAGGTTTAGATTAAAGCACTTTACATTTGGCTCAATAGTAAAATTTATTTATAAAAATTTTGCAAATTCTCTCTAAATAACAAATAGATTGTCTATTAAAGCTTATAAAATCTATATATACTTGTTTATTAATAAACCTAATCCTAAACCCTAATTCTAATATTAAAAAACTTTCAAAAAATATTTTCTAAAAAATTTTAAATTTTTTTTAAAAAATAGCAATTTTTAATTTAATCTAATTTCATTTTAATTTGTTATAATAATTATTTTAAAGCAGTATAATTTTATTAGCTTTCAAAAACTTCTATATTTTTTAAATCAATATTATGTTTTCTGAATATCTCTTTTAAACTAATACTGTTTTAGCAAATTAAATAATATTATTTATTGCTATTTTATTATTTATATTAGTAAACTTTTTATACTATCTAATTGCTTTATTATGATCTTGATAAATTTTCTTTATTACTATGATAACAACTAATTTACATATTATTTTAACATAAATATTATTTAAAATTAACTTATTTTTATAATATTCAAGACTTTCTAGTAATTTATTTCTATCCCAATTCTTTTATTATAATAAAAAGAATAAAAAAAATAAAAATAAGTACTTTCAGGCTTAATTAAAGTTTAATATTATTTATAATATATAGTTTAAAATTTTTAATAAATATATACCTAAAGGTTATATTAAATCTATATATCTATTAGATTATATTATTGACTATTTATACTTTTTTATTAATTAATAATAAATAATTCTAATAAAAAAATTATTCTAGTAGAATTTCTGATATCTAGTAAGTTCTAGCTTTTAATTCAACAATACTGCTTTAAAGATACTATATATTTTATTAGTAATTTATTTTACAAACTATTAATTTACAACAAATTTATTTATTAAAGCATTTATCAATAAAGTAATTTTATTCATTGTTATTAAAATTAAGATTAATAGGATTTATAAAAAGATATTATTTATAAAATAAACTAACTAGCTATAAAATAAGCTTATCAATAAAATATATATTAATAATAAAATAAAATAAAATTTTTAATTAATATAATAAATTTTATCTTCATTATATTTATTATATTTAATATTTTATCTTATCACTATCTTGTTTGTACTCCTCATTATTTTTTTATCATTTTCAATATAATCATCTGTTAAAAATTTTTATTATCTTCAGTTTCATTATTATTATAGATAAATGAAGGTGATGCCATTTTTGGTCCTCTAATATTATCAAAAAATGCTACAAATTCACTTTCAATACCCATATTATATACAAACTCCTCTGCCAAGATATTTTATCATTATTTAGTTTACACAAATCTTTGACAAATATACTATTAATATTATCAGAAAATTTTAAAGAAAATAGCATCGATGCTTGATCAAATTCTTTATCATATTCATCTAATTCTTCAATATTTGACATAATAAAACTAAAATTGAATATATTAAATTAAGATTAATATATAGAATTTATAAATAATATATATTTTTATATTAATTATAATCAATTGTAATCATTCAAATTTAAATGATTGCAATCGATATAAATCAATGCTAATCAATTACAATCATTTAGATTTGAATGATTACAATCGATTATAATTGATATAAATCAATGCCAATTACCCTGTAGATAGTAATCGATATGCATCTTATTTAAAAATTTCCTGATGAACTAAATCAGCCAGAATTTAACCAATATCAGTAACTTTGTTAGTATTATATTCTGAGGGTTTACTACAGAATCTTGACAAACAAAATTTCAGCACACAAAATTCTGACAACAAAATTCTCAATACTCAAAATCCTAACAAATTAAAATTCAGTGAATCAAATCCTATTTTCAAAATCTCAACAAATTAAAATTCTGACAAATTAT